GGGGCCGCTGCGTTTGCCGGAGGAGGTGCCTCTGCCTCCAGACCTCCTTCCCTAGCCAGGTCCTTGCCTGCAGGAGCCCAGGCAGCAGCCCGTGTACCACCAGTCGCCCTATGGCCCCTGCCACTATGAGATGAAGCAGTTCCTGGAATGTGCTACCAACCAGAGCGACCTGACCTTGTGCGAGGGCTTCAACGAGGCTCTGAAGCAGTGCAAGTATAGCAATGGTGAGTTGGGGCCCTGTCCCCTCAGGAGGGCTGGGCAGCGAGGAACTGCTGCCAGGACGCTACCCGAGAGGGTTCAAAGGTTGCAGAAGCAATCCATTGAGGTTATAGCGCCCTTCAAGGCTTTAAATAGGAGCCAGTTCTGCCTTTCCTGTGTCCTGGGATGCGGAAGGGAACTGGAAGGGGCAGGAGAAATGATCCTGACCATGTCTCTGTGAAGGTGAGGAGCCTGTCAGTACCCTCTTAAAGGTTCCTCTCTTGCTGCCACGGGAAGCCTGCTGCTTTCCCTGCTTGAATCCCTAATTCCTGCTCTACCTGTTAAAAGCAGATGTCAGTAGTTGTGTCTTGATCTGGTCACCTTAGGTAAGATAGCTTTTATTAACTCAAGCTGCTGGAACATGCACCTAATGCTGAACTTGTGCTTTCTGCCATGTAGGTGTTTCTTCTCTCCTGTGAAGAATCTGCCCCCTTGTAGGGAAGAGAAGCCTGGTGTAGAGCCCTGCTGCCTGCAGGGAGCAGAAGGATGGACAGGGGATGAGCTGAAGGGAACAGACTGACCAGACAGGAGTCTTCTAGTGGTAATTCACTTCTGGACTAGTAGGGAAGGAAAGGAATGGTTGGACCTGTGGGACTTCAGAATTCAGATAGTGCTGTATTTATTACAGAGAAATAAAGGAGTTTATTTGGACCTATCCCTTGTGCATGTTCTTTATTTAATTCTCAAGCTAAAATTAAGCTATTGAAATGTTAACAATATCAGCTGCTTCAAGGACAAGGCACAACTGTGTATTGCCTGCCAACAGGAGGTGCAGTCTAGCAAGGACTGTGCCTGCATGACTTTGCAGGAGCGGATCCACGACCGAGCTGAGACTGGATTGGCTGCACTCCAGGCAGAGGGGCTGGAGAGAGGTAATCGGAGATGTGTCCTACAGTATTTTCAATAACAAATTATTTTTCCTTTGATAGCCTCTTCCTGAAGAGCTGTTCTGACCCTGGAGCTCAGAAAGTATGACCTGTCTGGCTCTGACTCGGATACAGTCGGCTGATCTTATTTAAGAGGCTCAGCGGGTTATGCAATGTTCTCAAGGTCACCAGTGTCAGGTTTGGAGCTGTTTTCCTCTTACAGCCACTACAGCAGAACAGTCTCGAGTGCTGCCTGCAGCAGGAGACCCTGCTCCTCATGTTGGTGTGAAAGAGAATTTTTGAGGCTTCAGCTGGAGTTTTAGTGGCCCAGCAGTGAAACCATGACACCTTCAGATGCTTAACCATTGAATTTTCATGGCAGAATTAATCTAACTGCTGACCTCTGAATATTGGGCAAGTTCTCAGGCTCTTGCCTGCTTCCTCACTAACTAGGAGGGTTCTACAACCAGGTCTGGCTTCTGCTTCTCCCCTTTCTTGATGACTGAATTAATTTGCTACCCACAGCCATAACCAGTCCTGAAGCTCAGTGTTGTGAGGGGGCGTAGTGGAATGCAGAGGACAGTCCCACACCTGGCATACACGGGCTGTGTTGTGGAGAGGAGTTGTGCTGCACCCCTGGCTCCGCTGGAGGTGAGGTGGGTGCCTGGCTCTTACCTGCTAGGTCAGGGTAGTGTTTCCCCAGGTTCTCTCGCAGGGATTCGTAGCAGATAGCTTCAGAGCTTTCTCTTCCTGCCAGCAGAATGGGAGAAATGGGCTGATCTCCCTCCTGGCTGAAAACTGAAGTCAGGACTTGTAACTGGGGCAGGTGGCTCTGCCCAGGAAAGTTTCCTCCTCCAGAGCAGCCAGCTTGGACAAACACAAGGTTCAGCTCTAGCTCTTCATCTGAGCTGGCTTCTGCCTCCTCAGAGCTACTGTGTCATATCATAGAACAGTTTTGGTTGGAAGAGACCTTCAAGATCATAGAGTTCAACCTTTGTCCTAGCTCTACCAATGCCACCAAACCACATCCCTGAGTACATCTACCTGTCTCTTAAACACCTCCAGGGATGGTGACTCCACCTCCCTGGGCAGCCTGTTCCAATGCCTCACAACCCTTTCAGTAAAGAAATTCTTAATATCCAGCCTGAGCCTCCCCTGGTGCAGCTTAAGGCCACTTCCCCTTGTTCTGTTGCTTGTTACTAGGGAGAACAGACCGACCCCCGCCTTGCTATAACCTCCTTTCAGGTGGCTGTAGAACGTGATAAGGTCTGCCCTCAGCCTTCTCCAGGCTGAACAGCCCCAGAGCCCTCAGCCGTTCCTCATATGAGACATGCTCAATAGAGCCCCTCGCCAAAGCTATGTCTTTGTTTCTGGGAGGTGACAGGGTTTTCCTGGTGTGTGGGACAGTTACCTGAAATGGTGTGTGCCACCACCCCCCAAAGCAGACCCTCTTGGTTCAGAGGCTGAACTGTGCTGTGTCGCTGGGGAACTTGGGGATGACACTGATCAGGATGTAGCACTCCCTTTCCCGTAGGCATTTACTGGTGAATTCAAATGCAGTATTTTCCACTTTGCCCAGTTTCCTCGGGGCCCCCGTTTCACCCAGAAGATCGACGCACTCTGGGGGGACGGAGCTGTGGTGAAGAAAGTTGAATGTGCCCCTCTGTGGCCAGCACAAGCCTGTGGGGTTTAGAGGTGTTTTCCTTGGCAAGGTATGCTTCGAAGAGAATCTGTTGAGGTCTAGAGGGGAGGAGGTTTGCTGCCCCTTTCCCTGTGTTTTGGGATGATCTGGGCTTGCCATGTGACCTGTTTGTTGCCCTCTGCTGCTTCTCCAGGGGTGAGTGCCAGTCCCTCTGGTGACGGCTGCTCAGGAGCAGTTGTGCCTTCAGGCCTGCACTGACAGTTCCTCTTCAGGTGGGCTGTGAGGATCAGGGTGTAGCACTGCAGGTTCACCATCTCTTGGTGGTTGGCTGCAGACAGGGAGTGAGACCTGAGATGGGAGTGAGACCTGAATAGAGCAGGGGCTGGCTCCGACTCCAGGGGCCCCATGGATGTGGCAAGAGGCACCATGGGTGGCCAAGAAGTGCCCCCTGTCACAGCCAGCAAAGGCAGGATCCCTGCGTGGCCATCAGCTTCGAGCTGCTGTAGTACAGCCACATCTGCTGCTGTTTGGTGTGGGAATGCTCCAGGTTAGTAGCCGGGACAAACATTTTGATTTGGGGAAAATGGTTCTGATTCATCAAGAGTTTCTGTCCTTCAATTTTATCAAACATGAGTAGGAAAAAACAATGAGCCCTGGCCCTCGCTGGTCCCCTTCCACAAACTTGTCCCAGTCACAAGGGGAAAGAGCTGGAGATCACGGCTGAGTCACCAGGGGACGCTTTGGCCGTGAACTCTCACCAAGTTTGTCATGATTGAGAAATCCCCAGGGCTGACACGCGTCAGTGGTCAGAGCTGGGGATCCAATTCAAATAGCAGAGGGAGCAAAGGCTTAGGACTGTGTGTGTCTGGCGGCTTCCCCTGCAAGTGTCTGGGGTCAGGCAAAGGCGCTCTGCCAACTGGGCAAGGCCAGGATAGGGTCTGCTCATTGCCTCCCACCAGCTGGATATCTGCTCTCTGAAGCCGAGGGCCAGGATTTGAGCCAGGGAACCCTTCCCACCCAGCAGGGAGCAGAGGAGAGGCTGGTGCTGTCACTTCTGCACTGTGGCTCATCCGGTTTCGTCTACATAAGCAGAGCCCCCTCCAGTGATTCCCCAGAGCTGCAAGGCTGGGAATTCATCCTGGCCTCCCTCCCTGCAATAAACTCGGCTTTGCTGGGATGGCTTTTCCTCCAGTGTAGGGGTTAAAGAGCTCCCCTTTTTGTAAACAGATGAGGCAAAGGATGCTGATGTGCCTGCTGATGTGCTCTCCTGCCCTGTTTCCTAACCACTGGGCTTTGCTGTGCATCAAGGTGGCCCGGTGGTGATGGTGGGAGCTGCTGGAGAGCCCAGGAAAGGGGCTGCGTTCCCAGCTGATGCCATCGGTTTCAGTAGCCAGATTTCCCAGCAATGGCCCCTGCAGATTCCCTTGCCTCCTGCAGCTGGGGCGGGGGGGGATAGAGCAGGGGCTGGGCTAAACAACAGCCTGTTGGGAAGGCTGCCGGCTCTGAATTTCAGGCTTTGCAGTCTTGTGATGTTTCCTGCTCCCCCGTTTGTCCTGCAGCTCCTCTGGGCTGTGATAGTGCCAGATCTGCCCACCCTGCTCCTATCTGAGCACAGCACTGCTGCAAGGGCAGCTGCGGTCTCCTCTGTGAGATGGTTGGATGCCACTGGAAAAACCTTCCTCAGGACCCTGCCTGCTCCGGTCCTGCTCTGGGCAGGAGGCAGTGGGGTTTTGCAGCCCAGGAGGAGCTGTGGGCTGTTGTCAGGACAGCGGCTGTACCTGCACTGCAGAGCAGGAGGAAGCCGCGGGGCTTAGCAGCAAACGCAGGGTGGAGCAGCAGTAAGTCCTGGTCCGTGTTTTGACCTGGCCTGGCAGGGGTAGCTGTGCTTGGTCAGTGGTGTGTCAATCTGGGATAAAGCCTCCTTCATTTGGGTGAGCTCCTTCTGTTCACTGAGCACCTCCCATAGCTCATACAGGAGGGAATAAAGCTGGTGGAACAGCTGAGCACGGGGCTGGGCTCGTACCTGCCCTTGCACTTTGCACCGCCAGCACCCCTGGGCTGCGGTCCCGAGCTGTCAGAGGGATGTGCGTGGCTTAAGCACCAGCTTCCTCTTCCATTTGGTGCCCAAATGTTGCTGCACAAGTGATCCTGCAGCAGTGCTTGGGGGGGCCCTGTAGCATCGTCCCCTTTTCCTGCAGAGATGCTGGGACATACGGATGAAATCATGTCCCCGGGCTGGTCAGCAGATGGGGAGGACCTGGATAGTGGGAACCACTGACAACGCTGATGTACTGCATATCCAGTGCTCGCTGCACCGTGGACAAACTCCCTTTCTCCAAAATGCCCTCCTTGCATGAGGAGGTGATTTCCTTCTGCCTTGGCAGGTCTGTGTTCCACAGTCTCTGTCTAATCCAGAGACTTGATCTGCTCGGGGCTTGGTGACAGGGTGTGTGTGACACACATGCAGGGTGACTCACGTTCACCTTGCCACCACCTTGCAGAGTTCGGGGAGTGCTGGCAGGCAGCAGCTGGAGCTGTCTGTAGCGTACTCGTGCCTGGCTGTGTGAAAACCAAGCTGCTGATATGCTGCAACGGCAGAGCTTCGCGAGGCCGGAAGACATCAAAGGCAAACCCAGCCTTGGATGAGCTTTGGAGCTGGTGTCGTGCAGCCATGGCTCCTGCTGTAGGCTGGCTTTAATAAGTCTGACACTTACTGCATGTGCCGGGACTGCTCCACACCCCCTGGCAGGCGCACAACAGCCCTTGCTGCCCTCCTGTCCCGCAGCAGCCCCCGCAGCCCAGCTGTGCAAGGTGCTGGATGGTCCCCTCAGGTCTAGCTGGCACCGTGCTACTTCATGGCGCTGCAGGCGCAGACCCTGCTCTGTGGCATCTGTGTTGTAGCTGCTCTGATTGCCCCAGTCGCCGCCTTTCGCTCTCGTTTTCCTCTCACTGCACCCAGGGGAGGCTGTGTCACAGTAAATTGGGCAAGGTTGTGTGGGTAATGGCTTTTGTTAGACCAACTGATAGAGAATGCGGAAAAAATCGAGAAGCTGTTGGGTGCACCAGCCTTGTTCAGAGCATGCGGCGTGGCACAGCAAAGCAAGTGTCCAGCTTGCTGTGTCATTGCATGTCCTTGCATGACGGTGGTGCTTCCCCTTCAGGATCTGCCTGTGCCACAGACACGGTGCTGGGGTGTTCTGACGAGGCCAGGCTCTGTCTCAGAGCTCCGTTTTCCCTCAAACCCAGAGCACGCCTGGGTCAGCCACATCGGGAACCACTTGCAGACATCTTTGGCTTGGGGACACCTTGGGAGCAGGGCTGGGTGCTGCAGAGGGGAGGGAAAGGGCCACCCCTGGGTGGTGATGCGGTGGCCTTGCGGGGGCAGGGGCTGAGCCTGCCTGCGGAGGGCAGGAGGTACCCAGTGGTTGTGGGACACTGCGAAGTGCCTGCTGCGAAGGACTGCCACGGGCTGGTGGCTGGAGGGTGCAGAGACATGTTGGGGGGAAGCCAGCCGGTCACTGTGGCTGTCTGTCACTGTGGCTGTCTGTAAGGTGGCGCCTCTGGGCCCTGTGAGGGGGGTTACAGACAGGAGGGGCTTTACCCCCGGTGCGTCTGGCAGCCTGTTGCTGTAACTGTCCTTCCGCACGAGGCACCAGCTGTGCTGCAGCCACGTCTGGCTGCACCGGCCCCCTCGGGGAATGCCTTCTGGCAGGTGACTTTGGCAGCCACCCCCTCATGTTTGCCCATGGCTGCTCTTTCTGAGGGGGCAAAGAGGCAGAGCTCTGAGCACTGCCAGCAGCTCCCAGCCCATGCTGCGGGGAAGTCATTCTTGTCACAGCAACGGAGCTGTGTGGAGAAAGGAGCAGCGACTTTCCTTCTATCGCTGCTGCGATGAGACAGCGGCCGGGGAGGACTCTGGCATGTCCTGTCTTTCATTCTGCCTGGTGGCTCCCAGCCTGCTGCTACCACAGGGCATCCTTGGCATGGCGTGGCTCAGGCTCCTGGCCTCCTGTGCACAGGGTGGCAGGGGGCCCGAGGGAAAAGGTCTGAGTGTAAGACCACCGGGAAACCTCTCTGCTCCCCCCGTCAGAGAGGAGAGATGGTCAGTGATGCCCCCCGGCTGTCCCCCGGGGCAGAGGGCGGTGGGGTGGGCTGGGCGCGCATCCTCGCACCTGGAGGAAGTGGCCTAGCCTGGGGTGAAGGTGGGTGGTGGGTCGCAATGCTCAGCTCTTGCCCCACTGCTTCGAGCCCCCTCCCTGAAGGCCAGCTGCCCCAAAGCCAGCAATGCGGGGAGCTGGCCTCCCCAAGCCCCCTGTGTCATTTACATACGCCTCGCCGGCGCCAGCGGCACAGCAGCCTGGGTTCGGGTAGCGCCGCGGACCCTCTCCGAAACAGCCTCCTTTCCTCGGCTTCCTGCCATGGCCCTGGGCTTCGCGGTCCTGCTGCTGGCGGGGATGGTGGGGACAGGTAAGGGCGGTGAGGCTGAGCTAGCTGCTGTCTGCGGGGGGCACCGCGGGGTGGCGGGCAGGACTGGGCTGTCCCAGGGGGAAGCTGGCCCGAGTAAGGCATTTTGCTGCAGGGCTGTGCGGTGTGGTGAGCAGGATGGGGGCTGGGTAATGGGGTTGCCTCAAGGGGGCAGGGGGTCGTGGCTCAGCCCGTCGGCAACTGCATCCTTGGTGCACGCAGCTTGCAGGGCGCAGCCCGTGCTGACCCAGCCGTCCTCCGTGTTGGTGCTGCCCGGGCAGACCGCTCGGCTCTCCTGCACCCTGAGCCCCCTGTACAACATCAGCGAGTTCGGCATCTCCTGGTACCAGCAGCGCCCAGGGCAGCCCCTGAGGTATCTGCTCTACTACAACTCGGAGCAAGACAAGCACAAGGCCGCCAAGATTCCTGACCGCTTCTCTGCTACCAAAGACCTCGCCAGCAACGCCTGCATCCTCATCATCGCCTCCGCCCGCCAGGAAGACAATGGCAACTACTACTGCTCCCTGTCATATGCCTTCAGCTAACTGGTTTTAGAAGCGGGGAGCAAAAGCTTTCTGCATTTTCCCTTGCGACCCCAACGCGAAGCCCTCCACAGGGAGAACGGCAGCACTAGGGGCAATGGAGAAAGACCCTCCTGCGTGCTTGAGCAAGCCCAGCAGCACTGCGTCGTGCTGTGAGGTGCAGCAGCCCCCCTTCAACCCCAAACGTCCCCCATGGAGCAATAGAGAGCCTGACACCGTGCGAGACCTGCCAGGGCTCAGCCCAGGAGCACACCGGAGCGGGGACCTGCTGCGGTGGGAGGGGGGCGGGCCCTGCCGCGGCCTGGATTTCCTGGGCTCTGCCAGTATTTGGCACAACGCGGGCTTGATCCCGGCTCGGGCTCCTGCGCCGTTTGGCTCACCCGGTAATAAAGGTCAATCCTTCGCCACGCGGCTCGTGTCCTGTACGTGGCGCCCGGAGGAGCCCCCTGGGTGTCCCCCTCCGAGCTGGAGGCACCATGGCAGCGGGCTCGGTGGGAG